TATAAATGATCATTATTTGTTGTCATAAATGTTCGTGGTAGGCTTGATTTAATGAAATCGGGCAAATTGTAAACCGATAAATAATTCGTTTATAGGCAAATTGGATGGTTCCACCCACCCAATGAGACTCCCGGACGGTATTAGGGACCATGGTAAAAATTTAGGCAATTTTTATATTTGGGCGAAACAAAGTAAAAAATTTCCAAAATTGAAGGCTATGTCCACGCTTTTTAAGAAATTTTGCAGGTTTCGGGGCCTAGTGTCACAAAGTATTGATATTTTAGGGAATACATCTGGGGGTCATATAATGCCGTTTGGAACCATATATAATCATTACATGATGTCATAGATGTTCAAGTAGGCTTGAGTTAATGAAATCAGTGAAAGTTGTAAGCAGTAAATTGGCTGTTCAAAGGCAAATTGGATGGTTCCACCCACCCAATTGGATTCCCGGAGGGTATTAGGGACTATGGTATACATTTCGTCAATTTTTATTTTCGGGCGAAAAAAAGTCAAAAAATTCCAAAATTGAAGGCTTATATACACGCTTTTTGAGAAATTGTGAAGGCTTCGGGGCATGGTGTCTAAAAGCCTTGAGATTTTAGGAGATACATATCGGGGTCATATAATGTCGTTTGGAACCATATATGATCATTATTTATTGTCATAAATGTTCGTGATAGGCTTGAATTAATGAAATCGGTGCAAGCTGTAAACCGGTAAATTGGTCGTTTAAAGACAAATTGAATGGTTCCACCCACCTAATTGCACTCCCGAGGGATATTAGGGACCATGGTAAACATTTCAGTAATTTTTATTTCCAGGCGAAAAAAGTCAAATAATTCCAAAATTGAAGGCTAATATCCACGCTTTTTGAGAAATTTTTAAGGTTTCGGAGCCCGATTTTCGAAAAAAAAAAATTAGATTGTAGAGGATACTTCTCGGGGTCATATTATACCGTTTGGAACCAGAAATGATAATTAAATCTTGTCATAAATGTTCATGGTAGGTTTGAGTTAATGAAATCGGTGCAAGTTATAAACTGGTACATTGGTCGTTTAAAGGCAAATTGGATGGTTCCACCCAGCCAATTGGACTCCTAGAGGGTAATAGGGACCATGTAAACATTTCGGCATTTTTTATTTCCGGGCAAAAAAAGTCAAAAAATTCAAAAATTGAATGCTAATAACCACGCTTTTTGAGAAATTTTGTAGGTTTCAAGTCCCGGTGTCGAAAAGATTTGAGATTCTAGGGATATATCTCGTGATCATCATATATATAATTCCGTTTGGAACCATATATGATCATTATATGTTGTCATAAATGTTCGTGGTAGGATTGATTTAATGAAAATCGGTGCAAGTATTAAACCGCTAAATTGGACGTTTAAAGGAAAATTAGATGGTTCCACCCACCCAATTGGACTACCGAAGGGTATTAGGGACCACAGTAAACATTTCGGCAATTTTCACTTACGACGAAAAAAGTCAAAAAATTCCAAAATTGATCCACGCCTTTTTAGAAATTTTATAGGTCTCGAGGCCCAGTGTCGAAAAGCCTTGAAATTTTAGGGTTTACTTCTCGGAGTCATATAATGACGTTTGGAATCATTTATGATCTTTATATGTTGTAATAAATGTTCGTGTTAGGTTTTATTTAATGAAATCGATGCAAGTTGTAAATCAGTAAATTGGTCGTTTAAAGGTAAATTGGATGGTTCCACCCACCCAATTAGATTCCCGGAGGGTATTAGAAACCATGTGAAACATTGACAGGGTAAAGTCGTATCCCCAAATCAAAAGTAATTCCTAAATCCTCTAACTAATGTAGATAGGGAAGTAGGGTCGAATCCACAGAGAAACGAGTCTTTAATTTCTATTCCTAATTAATTAATATAATCTATATTATAAAGTAACCAAAATATAATGATCGAAGGAAACTAAACTACGAAGAGTAAAAGTGGGAAAGAATAAAAGTAGGAGGAAAAACAATGAATAAAAGGCCTAGGGCATAGGTTCACCAATAAATAATATTCCAGGGTAAAACATAATAATCAATAATCAATCAGATCATAAAGGTCTTTCGCTACGTATTACAATCACACAATTAATTTACCGGTATTAAATCTCATCTCTCGAATCTCGACTTAACCATTTAGAAATTAACCTGCCTATTGAAACTAGACCTAAACATCAATTCTCATCTGTCGAATCTCGAATCAATATTGTTAAACTCATGCATAAAAGATCTGCGCAAATCTAGTCACATAGCATTAAATCAATCAATAGGAAATTAATCTAGCATTGATAATCAACAACAATAAATTACCCCTTCATATTATTTATGGATCCCCACAAACCCTAGAAATAAAACTACTCACACATAATAAAAACTAAACTAATCAAGGCAATAAAACAAGACATGATCAAAAGAATAAAATAAAATAAATAACTAAGATTAAGAGAAGAGAAATCGTTACCAAAGAAATCTGGAATTAAGAATAAAGTTAAGAACAAAGTATAAGAGAGAGAAAACTAATCTAAAAGCTAAGTAGATAGAGAAAATCTAAGAAAGAATTAAGAAAGATTAAAAGAAGTTACTAAACTCGCTTAACGAAAAAGTATTTATACTAAGCGAGAATTCTAAACTAAAACAAACTTAAACGTCGAATAATTAACCCCTAATAATAACATGCGCCCGATCGGGCGAGGCACCGCCCGATCGGGCGCGCCTTTTTCCTCTCAAGGTTGAATCTCGCGCCCGGCCGGGCGCGAGTTCGGGCGCCAGCCTTGCTTCCCTCGCCCGGCCGGGCGCGCCTTCGGGCGCCAGCCTCTTTGGTCGGGCGGCTCTCTTGGTCCACTATTTGGACTTCGATTAGGCTTTTTGAGAATTTTTGGAGTTTTCGGGGCCCTGTGTCGAAAAGTCTTGAAATTCTAGGGAATACATCTCGGGGTCATATAATATCGTTTAGAACCATATATGATCAATATTTGTTGTCATAAATGTTCGAGGTTGGCTTGAATTAATGAAATCGGTACAAGTTGTACACCGGTAAATTGGTGTTGTACACCGGTAAATTGGTGGTTTAAAGGCAAATTGGATGGTTCCAACCTCCCAATTGTACTCCCGAAGGATATTAGGGACCATGGTTAACATTTCGGCAATTTTTACATTCAGGCAAAAAAAAGTCGAAAAATTCCAAAATTGAAGGCTAATATCCACGATTTTTGAGAAATTTCGAATGTTTCGCGACTCGGTGTCGAAAAGCATTGAGATTTAGGGGATACATCTAGGGGTCATATAATTCCGTTTAGAACCATATATGATCATTATATGTTGTCATAAATGTTTGTAGTAGGCTTGAGTTATTTAAATCGGCGCAAGTTGTAAACCTGTAAATTGGTCGTGTAAAGGAAAATAGGATGGTTCCACCCACTAAATTGGACTCCCAGAGGGTATTAGGGACCATGGTTTACATTTCGGCAATTTTTTTTTTCGGGTGAAAAAAAGTAAAAAAATTCCAAAATTGAAGGCTTTGCTTTTTGAGAAATTTTAGAGGTTTCGGGGCTCGGTGTCGAAAAGCTTTTAGATTTTAGGGGATACATCTTGTGGTCATATAATGCCGTTTGGAACCATATATAATCATTATGTTGTCATAAATGTTTGTGGTAGGCTTGAGTTAATGAAATTGACACAAGTTGTAAACTATGATTAAGTTCAATTAAATTGGGTTACATCCAATCTAGTTCAAAAATATTATTGTACACTCATATAGGGTCTTTAATTCCAGCATTGCAGCTAGGGGTAAAACTTGGTTAAAATTCTAAGTTTTAGAAATTTGTAACATGTTCCTCAAATATAAGAACTAAAACCTGCTCAATAGGTTTGTGAAAAGTGTGAATCGGAACCATTTCATTTCAAGGTGCATACATTATACATTCTAGCAAATTAAATACTCGGTACTTCATATGAAATATATTTTTAACTTTTGTTATATCTTATATGCTTTAAATTTTTAATTTTTATTTTATAGAAGCACATATGCTTTGAACTTAATTAAGAGTCTGTTCACATTTACTGAGTTGAACTGAACTGAACTGATTGGAACTGAACTGAAATGATGAGCTGAAATGAATATTTTATGAGAGAGGGAAATTAAGAGCTGAACTAAACTGATTGGAGCTAAACTGAATTGAATTGAACTGAAATTAAGGTTTTTAAATCCAAACATAAAAAAGTGAAATTTTATCTAAGCTAAGAGATAAATAAAGGTCTATTTTGTTCAGTTTAATTTTAATTCATTTCACTTTCTAATTTCCTTCTCTCATAAACAATTCAATTCAACTCTATTCAGTTTAGTTGTTTTCAGTAAATTGTAACATACCCTAAATGAGGATTGTTAAACAAAAAATTAATTAATCACAAGTTGAATAATGATGGGATAAAGTACAAGTATTAAAAAGTACGGAGTATTTACTAAATTGCCATTATATATATATATATAAAAAAAATATTCCTCCAAATATTTCGTAAACCCTAACTACCTATTCAGTCTTCACATTTCTCCCTCTTCTCTGTTTCAAAAAATTATCGTAATTGGGGGAATTTCTCAACGGTGAAAGTAATATTCTTCTGGTAATTTCTGTTTTCATCTCTCTTAAATTGTGTTTCTAGACTTTCTACATGAATGATCTGTTATTACATTTTAGCTTTGCATTTTGAATGTTTTTCATGTTTTGTTGACAAATTTACTAGTTTAAGTTCTATTATTCTGTAAAAAAAAGTGTTAAATTCACACGTTTTGTTTGAATTATTATTAAAATCAATACATGTTTACATGATGAATGTTTGTTTCATACCCTAAATGAGGATTGTTAAACAAAAAATTAATTAATCACACGTTGAATAATGATGGGATAAAGTACAAGTATTAAAAAGTACGGAGTATTTACTAAAGTGCCATTATATAAAAAAAAATATTCCTTCAAATATTTAGTAAACCCTAACTACCTATTCAATCTTCACATTTCTCCCTCTTCATTGTTTCAAAAAATTATCGTAATTGGGGGAATTTCTCAACGGTGAAAGTAATATTCTTCCGGCAATTTCCGTTTTCATCTCTGTTAAATTGTGCTTCTAGACTTTCTACATGTATGATCTGTTACTACATTTTAGCTTTGCATTTTGAATGTTTTTCATGTTTTGTTGACAAATTTACTAGTTTAAGTTCTATTATTCTGTAAAAAAAGTGTTAAATTCACACGTTTTGTTTGAATTATTATTAAAATCAATACATTTTTACATGCTGAATGTTTGTTTAATGTTAATTTTTGTTTCATTCATGTTTATATTTAATTAATCTAGTAACGAGTTGAATCTGCATATATTTGTTCAAGTTCTTGTAATCTATGATTGATTAGTTATGAATTATTTCCATAAATCAATATAATGTTTAAGAATTGCCAATTAATTGAAAGGAAATCGATATGGCAACAAGGAAACGGCGTTACGATCCAAATGTACCGATTGAACTTAGCTCGGAAGTGGAAGAAGATAATGTAGAAAGTTCAGTATTCAAGAATGATGAAACCAAGAAAATACAGGTGAAGGTGGTGAAAAGGACGGATTCGAACATTGAAGAAGAAGAAGGGGTTTCTTTGAAGATTGAAATTGACATTCCACTTCGATGGGTGATGATTTGTTACTGTCAGAGATTGGGTTTGGATTTTCAAACCACCCGATTCGAGTTCAATGCTGCTAAGTTAAGGGATTTGGATACTCCCCAACAACTTGGCATGGTTCAAAATGATGTCATTTTTGCCTTCCCAAATCATGGTTTGCTCCTCTCTTGAAAACTGATTTTTTTGATTGGTGTTATTTAGTTTTTGGATTTTAATTTTTTTATACTGTGCAAGTTTTAATCTTTTATTAATTTTTTCATACATACAAGAGTAATTTGATTTGATTGTTTGGTTTACTACTCGGGTTTGAGTGTTTGTAAATGTTTGAAATGGGAAGATTTAGGGCTATAGTAGTTTGCTTCATAGAAGACTTTGGGTACGGCAGGTCATTAGAATCATTAAAGGGGGCGGCGGGGGGGGGGGGGTGGTGGGGGTGAGATACCTATCTTGATGACTTGATGTATTTGCATATGCGTTGGAGATTGAGATGAGAAAGAAAGCGAGGTACCTATCTTCCCTTATATGAATATTGAATGAGGATTGAGGGAAATGATGAAACCAAATCCTTCCACTAGTTATTTAGAAGGAAAATAGAAACATGCAACTTCACTTATTGATTGTGCTGCTATCCTATCCTCTACTTAATCGTGATATCGCAAGAAGGAAAGGGTCAAGTTTCTAGTGACATATATAGAGGTTGAATTTTGGTTTCTCATTTATGGATTGCTGATGAAATGATATGTTAGTAATCGTGAATTTCGATTTCTATTGAACTCATTCTGAAGATTTAATGTATGCACAAATATGTGTTTTTTCTTGCCCCTCTCGCCCTTCAAGTTTTCCTGCTGCTGCTGTTTCCTGATCAATTCATTACTTGTCACTATTGCCCCATATTTACTTTGCCTTATTGAGAGTGCTAGTAGCTATTGTAGCATTCCAGCCTTCTTTTCTTCTATGTTAAAACACTAGCAAAAGAGCAAGATTTGTCTGCGACATGATTCTAGAAAGCTCTTTCTCGAGGCCAAGAATTCCAAACTTAGGGAAAAAAAGGCTCCTTAACAGACAAAGCTAAATTATTTTGTCAAGCTTTTTTTTTTTTTTAACTATTCTGCTGTTTCCCCAGCTGAATTCTGTGGATTTAAATTTTAGACGTCAAATATTTTACCATCTTTGGGAATGTTAGGTCCATTTAACTTAAAATATTATCTCACACAAAGTGTTCCAGCTGTTCCTGTCTTGACTGCAGAGTAAGTACTAACATGAGGGAAATCAAAATTTAGCCTGATTATATATTTTCTATATACACAATCAATTTTAACTATGTCATGATTAATGGTGAAGTTTTTGATCTTGACATGCTTTTATTAAGCATTAGTAGTTAGATAGGCTTAGTCTGTCTTCTTTTTCCCTGTTTTAATTAATAATTATATCCCTGGATGCCCTTGACAGTCATTCAGGGAAGAGCAGTACTCACTACTTAGAACGTATCACCAAATAGACTTTTGTTTATACTTGGTTAGTTTTTCTTTAGTGCTGATAACATGATACTATGAAATTTGCACTATATTCACAAATTTAAGGATTGTATACTTATCTTTTGTGTCATTGTTCGAAACATTAGAACCTTATTTTTTTCCATTGTCATGTACAAATAAACATGTTTTAAGTTTATGTGCACTAAGTAAGAAGTAGGTAATAATTGTATGGCATATAGAACTGACGGTAATATACATCAGTATTTACAGTCAACAAATGATGATAAGGCATGGAGCTCCTGTTGAATTTTTCAATTTTGTTTCTTCATCTCTATAGCTCTTTCATTCTTATCTCTTTGTTTTCTCTCATTTGCCTTCTTTCTATCACTGTGTATAAGGTGGTTTGGGGAATGGAGCTGTGCATTATGTAACTATATGCATCCGCATGCATAAGGGGAGAGACATGTTTCATAGAGTGAAATGCTCTACCGCTGTACTGCCTCAGCTTATGCGATGTTTTTCTAACAGTGATCCTCGAGAACTTCGCTCTCTATGCCTTGTTTATGGTGGATTAAAGTTGACTCAGAACCATACAGCTAGAGAACTAAAAATGGAAGATGGTGACATAATTGATGGCTTTACTTTCAGTTTGATGAGTAAGTTCAACTCTGGTTTCATTCAATCTTGTTTATTATATGCTCAGATTAGGATCCTTATTATACCCCATAATATGTTCCTGTTTACTTCTTTTGGAAGAAAATCCTCTACATCCTAGATTTGTACTTGTTAAGAGCTTTCAATTCAAAGCTTGAAAAGAAAACTTTTCTGATGCTAGGCAAAAAGTTTTAGCGTTTTACAAATTTTATTTGATTGTGCAACTAAGATATGAAGTATGAACTGCTAAAGAGCAAAAAGGTCCTAATTTCAGGTTTTCAAGTTTAGAAATTTTGGTATTCTTTTTAACTTGAATCTCCCTTTCCTGTTCAGATTCTTCCTTGAGCATAGTTGGGCAACGCATTACTCTTAAAGTGATATGTCATGTGGGCAATGAAACGGTGTTCAGAGTCACTCCGAGGACTCTTTTGGGTCAGATGATGGATAAATTAATGCCGCCGGAGGCAGAGACTGGGCGTAAAAATGTTAGATTTATATTTAATGGTCGTTATCTCTCACCTACAAAAACAGTAGCGGAGGAACATCTCGTGGATGGTGATACTATTAGTAGCATGCTTTGTATGAGGGGATGCTGAATGTTTTTGTTAGGTTACTATGATTCTGACTTGTACATTGCCTTTCATGGTAAGATTTGTAGCAGTCGCAGTATAATGCTGTCATATCTCTGATTTTATTTCCGTTAGTTTATAAACTTGTTTAAAGGGTAGCTAGATTTGGCGTGTATATCATCAACTTATTGTAAGATTTAATGGGGCTCATTCACTCATTGAGCCCATGAATTGGAATAACAGAGAGAGTGAGAGATACCTCATCCTGCTAACGTTCTCCTCAAAAAAAGTGAGGGATACCTCAAGTGGTTAGATACTTAGAGTTCTTCTATGGGATCAATTCTCCATCCCCGCTCTTGTGGCTCTCTAAACACCAAAAAAATAAAAAAATTAGTTTGTCTTTTATTAAATGGATCGAATGTGGATACTTATGTGTTGATTCGATTCTCATTAATCCTACTTTTAGAGGCCTAGATAATTGGATAGGTTAGGCTAAGATCAGTCCTAAGTAGGTTGGCTTGTAAAGGGTCAAAATCAATTGGGTCAAAGCAGGTCATAAGTCAATACCATGTACCAGTAAAGCCTTCTAATTTACACTTTTTCAATTGAGTAGCTATTTTTTTGATAAAATTATTGGGCTTTAGCCTTGTATTAAAAATAAACTTGTTCAATTAAAACATCGTCCACTAAAGCCTTCTAACTTTATACTTTCTTTGTTAGTTGGAATTCCTGAGGTCGGTTATTTATTTATTTTCTTTTCGTTTCCAAGGTTAGTAGATTATTTTTTTATTTGACGAAAAGTTGAATTTCTTTGACAAAGTAAATTTCGATTCTTAATCTCCACAAATCCTTCAATTAATTTATGCTTAGCAAATCTTGATTATTGACAAAAGTATACCATTAAATTGTGAACAGAAATAAAAAAAAGAATGAAGAAGACGGAGTATTCAAGCGCAAAAGCAAACAACGAAGGCCAAAAGATTTTCGTAACAGTAAAGTGGATTAACAGCAACATCGACGATATGAAAGATGATGATGATATTGATGATAAAGAGAATATTAACTTTAGAATTGAGAGTGATGTTCCTCTAAGATGGCTAATAATTCTTTATTGTGACAAATTTGGTTTGAATTTCGACACAACTCGTTTCGAGTTTAATGGTGCTCGTTTGAGAGGATTTGATACTCCCATAAATATTCATATGCTTTCCTTTGATGTCATCTACGCTTATTCTTCTCCATGTAAGTTTTTCTTTTTTTCTTTTTATTACGGAGTATTATTTTTATTTTAAAACTAGGTTTAGGGTTTCTATATGTTTATTTTGCATTACTACATGTAAGTAGAAACTTATGGTTTTGTTTGTTTCACATTAACATGAATCCTTATCGATCATAGGATCTTCTAGAACCGAGAAATTAAGCTATCCCTCACCCTCACTTTATGAAATCCTTTGTAAATACAAATTACGTGTAAAACAAAATTGACAGCGTGTTATAAGTGATTGCATTAAAAAAAAATTACATTGCTTTGGTATACTTTTTACGTATTTGGACAAAGGGCTATAGTATGGTTATAAATTTAATTGATAATAATGTTGACCTTAGATTGTTTCATGTATTATTGTGGTTTTGTAATTAATTGTTTAGAAATTGCTCACTCAATAGGTAGTATTGAAATTATTGGATATGATATTCAGGTTCAAATGGCTTAGTCCACTCAAATAGTCGAGTTCAAGACAATGATGATGGGAGTAGTAGTGGTCTATACCAGGCAACAATATGCATTCGAATGCACAAAAAGAAAGATACATTAATTAGGGTGATACGTGCTACACCGTTATTACCTCAGCTCGCACTTGGCCTCTCAAATGCCGGACTTGTTGTTGAAGGCGGCTCTATGTGCTTTGTTCACGAGGGCACGAGGTTGACTCAAGAGCATACTGCAAAGGAACTAGATATTGTTAATGGTGATGTTATTGACGCCTTTATTTTTGACAAGTACAGTAAGTTTTACAACTTTAGCTTGTTAATCAAATCAGTTAATACAATAAGCTAATTCCAAACACAGTCTTAAATTAACTACCTGTTGTTCTTGATTCAGGTTGTTCGCTGAGCATAATTGAAGCATCAAAACATTCACAAGAATCAGATAAACTATATTTGGAAGTATCAGTGGCCTCTAAGTACCACGAAACAATATATTTCAGAATAAAACGAAATACTCGTTTAAAAAAGTTGATGGACGCATACTGTCAACGTTGTGAAATGCTTAAAGGAGCTCTTTTCTTTTATCATGGCCGCATACTTGACGGCTCAAAGTCACCGGACGAAGAAAATTTGGTGGATAAATCTATAATCTATGCTCTTCCATTAATGTTGACGCCGAAATAGGTCACATTTCCTATTTTTTTTTTTTTTTTAGTAATACTACTCGCTAAATTTGTTATCTTTCATAGTTTGTTCTTACTGATATAGCTCTTCAGGTTTTGAAAATAATACTCGTATATTGGTACGTTGTTAATGATTTTCATTAGTTTTATATCTTTTGTACGTAATTTTACTTGCTTGCTAGCTGCATTTTTTTGAGGTTTTGTTTTGAGTTTCATTTATTAGGGTGTTCTTGCGTTTGTTTAATGAAACTATCAACAAAGTAGTAACGTGGTTGCTAATTTTGTTGTAGGATAATGTGTTATGTAGCCGGCCCTTAAGCATTAAATTTTTTGTATAAGAGTATAAGAAACCGTGACAAAAACACACTAATTACACTGATTTACACATGTTTTTGTTATGAACTCATAGCTTAAAACAATTTTCTAGAATATATTTAATGCTTATATGTAACTTTAAGGCTACGTATAACATTATCCTTTTTTTGTAACCAATAAGATAGTAAGCTTTTCTTATTGGATTTGGAATTATAGAATATGAGAATGCATAAAATGTTATGGTTATAAATTCTTAGTTTTTTCGTAATCCTTCTAATTTCACTTTTTTGCATTTGCCCTTTCATATATACTCTCGCCGACTTGCCGTCCTATATGGTTCTTATTGTAATCCTATTTTGGAGATTCAAAATGTTGTTTCTATTTCAATTTTTGAATAGTATGTAAAGACCATTATACCCTTACTTTAACTTTATTTATGGTACTTTTTAAATTATTATTGAATTTTGCACATGACTTGTACTTTTTCCACAATCTCTCTAACTTTTGTCTACAATTGTATTTTTCAGTTGTATTAATGTACTTCATCTACTTTTTCTTTCTATTTCTTAAATACTGTAAAGAAACACAAACATGAACTATATTATGGGATGAAGGGAGTGACAATTTTCACTCTGTAACCCGCAAATACATTTAAGTTACATATAATAACCTTGTCATTAATTTTTTTTTTATTATTGACGCTCACTCATCATTTAATAATATTTTTGTATATCAATTTACGTATTGAAAAATATTCCGTTAAAAGTTTTAAGGGCTAATTTGGGTCTTAAGGATTCAGATATATATATATATATATATATATATATATATATATATATATATATATCATTTTACGTATTAAAAAATGTCTCAATTTGCATATTTATGTTTTTTTTTTCCTCCAAAAAAAATTATAAAAACCCTAATTACCTTTTCACATTCTTCCTTTCTTTAACCCCCTAGATTTCCCCTCCCTTTTCTTCCTTAGTCAAATTAGAATTCTTGTTACACTTCTTAACGACGAAAGTAATATTCTTTTTTCCTCCAAAAAAAATTATAAAAACCCTAATTACCTTTTCACATTCTTCCTTTCTTTAACCCCCTAGATTTCCCCTCCCTTTTCTTCCTCAGTCAAATTAGAATTTTTGTTACACTTCTTAACGACGAAAGTAATATTCTGCTGGTAAAATCCTTCTCTTTTGCTCTTGAATTGTTGGGCTCTACATGTATGATTTGTAATTATGTGTTAATTTGCACGTTGAAAGATGTTTTCTTGTTGTTTTTTTTTTTTTTTTTTTTTTTTTTTACAAATTTATTTGTTTATGTTCAATTAAGCTCTAATTGAGTTTTTATTAAAAAAATAAAATAAAAATAAATTAAGCTCTAATCTATATTATAATTTAAGAGTCATTTTCCCAACTTTTAACCACATTACTCCAAAACTCAATCTCTCAATTCTCATTCACTCCCTTTTTTTTTTAATTATTATTTTTTTCCTTTTTTTTTTGCCCTATAAATAACTTCCACCTGTCTTTTTTTAAAAAAAAAAATAAAAACCCTCCAAAAAAAACTTCCACTATTATTTTTCCTAATAACACACACTACCCCAAAAAACTACCTACGTAGTCCAATTTTTTTTTTTTTAGAAACACCAATATTACAATAATTGCACTTTTTTTCCAAAATTATGTGCACTTTTTTTAAAATAATATTGCCACCATAAGTTCCACTATTTTCCTTTTTAAAAATTCTTCTAATTGTTTATTTATATTTTTTAAAATCAGCTAACTACCTTATTATTAATTCAATAATCATCGAAACGAAAATATATACATAATGTTTTTTTGTGAAAGAGCAAGTTACTATATCACAAACAACTTCACGTATTTAAAATATATTTTTGTTATTAGATCTTTGTAATATCTTTAGATAAACTATATATCCCGTGCATTTTGCACAGGTACACTCTAGTTGAGTTAATTTCACACTATTTTGTTTGAATAATCTAAATTAATAATGGATATTTAAATGCTACTCGCTCCGTCCCTAAATTTTTTTTTTTTTTGGTGAAAAAGGATCAGAATTAATTAATTAAAAAAAAACACCACCCCTCTGAGGTAGTTTACACAAGTTCATAGTTAAAACATACACATCAAGTTAGTTTAGTGACGCAGCACCCAAATAGTTATGCCATTTAAGGCCAAAAGAGCTATTGTTTGCTTCAGAAAGTCTAGCATTAGGATCGGGAGGAGGGTTACAAAAGGTAAATTCTGCCATCCAGCTTGGGTCCTATCTCTTTCTAGTCTGCATAGGAGTTAGACTCAACCTGGCTTGCCTGACCTAAAATTCTGCTTCCCTGACTTGCTGCCTCCGGACTTTCATAATGCTGCTGTTCCCTGAAGGAGGCATTAGGTCCCTGCACCAGAGTGAGAAAAGGTGGCCTTCATCAGGTGGGGAATTAGTATCACATACACTGTTAACAGCGCGATGACAGTCAGATATTACAAGAAAGTTCATCCAGTTATTTTCTCTGGCCCAAATTAAAGCAGTCAAGATAGCAATTAGTTCTGCCATGTAGGGGTTGGGAGCTAAGCAATGGCCTTCCAGGCCCTGTATCCATTCACCATTCTGGTTCCTACAAATGCAGGAAATCCCAGTAGAAAGGGAGATTGGGGAGAAAGAGGCATCCATTGTGATTTTCATCAATGGTTAGGCCAGGTAGGTTGGAGGAGGAAGTTTGTATTGGGGCTAGAAGAGGGGGTAGGGTTGAGATGTGAGAAGTAGTGGCGGTCTCTGATAGTATGGATAGTGGAAGTCCAGAAATTTGTTAAGGGGCTGGATTTATTCTGGAAAATCCAAGCATTCCTTCTCATCCAGATTTTCTTCAGGATAATGGGGAAGGAGAAATTCCAAGGGATATCTTGGATGAGGTGGGTGGTGTTGTTTAGGTTGTGGAGGATCCAGGACTGGATATCAGGCTGATCAAAACTCATGGTTGGGTTGGCTAAGCCCCATTCTTTAGCCCTTGGGCAATCCCTCAACACATGAATGCCATTTTCAATGGTGCCAGGGCAAAAGCAGCAAAATTGGGAGGGTGTTATATGCTTGGTGAACAGGTTACTGCAGGTGGGGAGCCTGTCCCATATACATTGTCACAGGAACAGTTTTGATTGGGGGGTGAGGCATTGGTTCCACATTTTTCCCCAGGGGATATCAGGTGCTTGGTTTTTCCTTGATTTCTCCCAGAGGTAGGAGTAGGCCTGATTTGCATCAAAATGTTTGCCTTTGGAGAGTGAACAGAAAGGAAAATCATCTCCCTGACCAGTGAAGGGAGTGGATTTGATAGTTTGTTGAATGTTTGGGGGTAGGTGTATGCTAAGGTTTTGCAGATTCCAACCCCTATCATCCATGATACTGGCTAGGGTTTGTGAGTCCTCATGTTGTCCCAAAGGACCTTGGATTAGAGATCTAAGAGGTCCCAGTCCTGTCCAGTTGTGATCCCACAAAAGACAGTGATTCCCACTGCCTATAGACCATTGAGTGAAAGCCTGGAAGATATCCCACCCTTTCCCCATCCCTTTCCAGATGTGAGAGCCATATTTGAAGGAGTTTAGGGTAGCTCTGGAACAGTATTTTGTTTTAATGATTTTGGCAGCTAGAGAGTCAGAGTGACACATATTCCAACAGAGCTTTGCTAGTTGGATTATGTTCAGAAGTTCAGAAGCTCTAAACCCTAACCCCCCTATCTTTATGAGTACATAGATTCTCCCATCCAATCATATGACATCTTTTTCCCTCTTCAGATGTGCCCCAAAAGAATCTGTTGTAAATTTGATCAATCTTTTTGCACACAGAGGAGTGAAGGTGGATAGATTGCATGGCATATTGAGGAATGCTAGTAAGAGAAGTTTTAATAAGGATTGCCCTTCCAGCCTTGGAAAGTGTTTTAGACTTCCAGGCTGAAAGTTTTGAAGCCATATTTTTGGCAATGTAGTTAACTTGGTCTGGGGAGGGCCTTTTGTCAGTAAGAGGGAATCCTAAGTAGGTACCTAGGTCAGAGCTGGGGGGACATTAAAGTGGTTGGAGAAAAGTTCAATGGTGGTCTGGGAGGCATTTTTGGAAAAATATAGTTGACTCTTTAAGCTATTCATTTTCTGGCCAGAGATGGAGAAAAAGGTGTCCAGGATATCATTGACAGAATCTAGAGTTTGTTGAGAGGCTTCTCCAAAGAGAATTAAGTCGTCTGCAAACATCAGGTGGGATATGGCAACAGAGTTTCTTTTAAATTGAAAAGGGACCCAAGAGCCCTCATCACAAGCCTCTTGGATTAGAGCAAAAAGGTATTCCATGCAAATAATGAATAAGTAGGGAGACAGGGGGTCCCCCTGCCTTATCCCTCTAGATGCATGGAAGGAATCAGAGGGTCTACCATTGATCATTACATGGAAGGAAGGGGAGGATACACAGATCATGATTAGATCACAACTGTTCTTATCAAAACCATTTCTTGCCAGGCATTTTTTGATAAAGCTCCACTCTAGTCTGTCATAAGCTTTCTCTAGGTCAATTTTGAATGCAAACCAAGCTTTGTTGCCAGATTTAAGTTTCATAGAGTGCAAAATTTCAGATGCAGCTATGAAATTATTTTGGCAGCCTCTTCCTAGAAGGAAACTCCCCTGAGCAGGG